TCACTCTTAAGTGATCGCTCGTAAATTTGTCTCTCCAAATATTCACTCTTAAATTTTCGCTCATAAACTAGTGCATCGTAAAGGTTGGGGAACAAAAAGCTATAATCTTTCTCTTGACTGTCCTCCATTCCTCGTGCTTTTCAAAATGGCGGATAAGATTTCAATGAGCCAGTGAGCAAAAGTAACGAGCCAGCGATATATCTCAGTCAGCGATATATCCCTAACAATGTAACGTTGAAAAAACGACAGAAACCGTCTGCATTTTATGACCGGTGCCAGCCTTCGGCTGGGCCCCGGTAATAAGGACATGGCGAAATGAGGAACAAATAGTTGATAAATAGAATAAACGACATTACACAAGGCTGGGAGTTCTGCATTCTTTAATATCGCCTTGGAATAGGAAGGGGAAAAAAAAGAAGAAGAAGAAGAAGCAGCAGCAGCAGCAGCAGAGAAGTTATTACAACACAGGATATTTGTAATTGGTCACCCATCCTAGTACAAACCCCGCCGAACAGGGCTTAACTTTGTTGAGCGGACGAGACGTGGTGCTGTCCATGTGGTATAGTGACCCTATCCTGAACGCATTTTTTTGTAATTTCTAAGATGAGAAAAGGTAACAAAAAGGGAAAAAAAAAATCTCTGATACTGGTTGGGAAAATAAAGAACGAAAAAAATGATAGGAATGAAAATGAGAATTATTACTTGGTTTGGTGATCGGTTAAGAAGCAGTAGTTTCTTTAAAATTGTCTCGGTCTCTCAGACGAGGATAACTCGGTCTCTTGGACCGATAACTTCATGAATGTTTTCAACAGTGTTACATCTCCTCGTGTATTCTCTTACCGTTGCGTTCTGCACTATTTCTTAACAATACCAGTGGACTTTTGTCACGGGAGGCCTAGCGACCACTCCTCGAGACTATAGGCGTAGTGACCACTTTGGCGGAGTACGTGCACGAAATGAGAATCTTTTCCTCCATGTTAAATCAGTCGTTGTGTTAGTGAATAAAGAAAATCGCGTTTGCGACAGCTTTAACTTTAACTTAACCTGCAGATTAAAACCTCAAGTCGGTGGCATCAAAATTGTCACTGTTTTTTACAAATGATCCATTTTCCAAGTTGAGTGGCTCTAGCCTCTTTGATTTTTGTAAGTCTCGCATTTTTCAATTTTTAAGTTTAAAATACGGAAAAACGAAAGCGAAATATCATTTTTTGGCGCATTTACCGTATTTTTAAATTAAGTGCAGGCTTTAAACTGCTTTATCAAATAGCTAATTAGGCCTATGTGCCAGTATAAAAATGCTTTACAAATAGCGATTTAGGCCTAAGCAAAGGCGGCTTGTGGTTAGCTATAAAATGTTTTTAAGGTCAGAAAGTATTTTGATTCTGTAAATTAAAGAAAATCCAGTACAATAAACCACTTCCTTACCTCGGTTGCCTGGTCTTGTGTTTGCAAAAAGCCGTAACCTTTCACTTGCTGTGGTGTATTTTGTGTCTTTCAACGCTGAGGGAACATGAACAGTCATCTAGTGATGAAATTCCTGAAGTTCGTTGTATCCATCCTGCTCAAGCCTATATTACAGAAAAAGCGAGCAGGTTCGATGTTTGTTGTATCAGTATCAAGTGTATTTCTTTCATGAACAGCTGGTATAAAGTAAATGGAGTCATCTCCATTGGCACAGGACATGAACAAACAGTCTAAGACGTCGTAGACTTAAGAGGTAAAGCATTCAACAATCGAGAAGAAGATTACAAGAAGGAGAAGAATTGACAGCGGTAAAAAAGGCTTTGACGTAAACGATACACGGTGAGCCTACTCTTGTAGCATTGGGTCAGTTTTCAAGTGAACGGTACAAAGAAGAAACGAAACTCACCAGGGACCCAGTTGATCTAAAAATCCAATGCATGTTTTCGTACAGCGTGAAACATGCTTAAACTGATGAGTATTATTCATCAGTGAATTGTAATATTTTTTGGAATGTTAATGAGTCAAGTAAAATAAAAATAATTTTTTGAGGTGTGGGTCTCAACTGAACCCAGCATAGTGTAGTGGTGTAGAGGAGAGATTGGAAAGTGAGAGGTATGTGAAAGGCAAGGGGTTCGAGACCTGCAGGGGTACAAAAAAAAAAGGAAAAAAAATGCGTAAGGAGCCTGGGTAAGAAGAAGAGAATCGGCAAAAAAGGCAGCGTGCAATAAAATCCTCTTTTATTCATACAGTAAGCAGTAATTATCAATGTATATATTCAATACCTTAGGGAGTTGCCGTTGACTTCAAAAACAATAGAGCGCATACATAATTAATCATTCTGCATGCGTAATGAATGTATGGTGTTATGTGGAAATTTTTCCTAGCTTTCTAAAGGCCTGCATCGTCCTAAATGGACTGAACAAGAAGTTTCTACATCAAGAATCGATTGAACTTCAAACAAACTGGGCCATAATTATGAGCAAGTGAACACTCCACATGATGTCAGTGTGTCAATTATCGACTGGAAGCCACACAAATAAATATATTCCGCGCTAGCGAATCACAGACATGTCTAATAGTTGGCTAGGCTGAAAACGCCTAAAATTGATGAAACGAGGAAATTAAATGCTACTTATGATTGATCAGCCTTTGACGTGATTTCCTTCACTCTGCTGGTGGCCATGTTTTGCCTGCAAATAGCAGAGTCCCAGATGTACTTGAAATTCATTGCGCGGGAAATGCCATATCCACACAAGTCAGTAGCCACTCAAAGTTTAGACCAAATAACGCCAACAGCAACTAGAAATGTCTAGTCCATTGTACTTTCAAGCCCTAAATTGATGTGGCTAAAGCTCTTTGCTGTCTAAAGCAAACACAACATTATCGCCAACAGCCTACTATTACAGGGCTAAATGTCGACCCGTTTACACATCTCAGGACCGCTTCATGTACGAACATGGATGACGCTTGCTAGCAAATTTTTAGACTTGCACCTTCATTGGACCTAATGATGTCCTCGAGCAGACTTTAACTTCCTTTAGACAGCAGTTATAGAACGCTAATCAGTCAGATCCTTCTCAGAGTCACCGCGCGAACTGAAATTTAGATGAGTGTAGCCTGGGCTAAACTTAACCCCAATTGAAAAGGGGAGGGGGTTAGCAATAAATAATTAAAAACATAGATAAATGAAACAAGCAGTAAGAAGTTCTCTGCATTTCATGCGAAAGCCAAAAATAAATAAATAAAATAAACAAATAAATCAAAAACACTTGATTTCTGTAAGACTGTTTTCATAAATTCAACAGAGCAAGACTGGATGACCCAGAAAGGCTGAAAAATGAGCGTGTCTAATTACTGTTGATCTGTCTAAAGCATCTCGAGTCAAATTAGGGTATATTGCCGGATCATTTCGGACATCCTGCTCAAATAAATGACTGAATTTATGAAAACCTTGTCAAGACCTCTCGCCAAAATAGCGGGCATGTTTTTGGACAAACGGTCAGACATATTTATGCATTTTCAGTGATAAAGGTGTTATTTTGTCTGTTAAATCTGTTAAATTTTCTTTGACTTTGATAGCCTTGCAGAACCCATAGAGTACATTCCAAGATCCAAAGGATTAGGGTTAGGAGCAGAAAGCAGACCACCATCTGATGAAATGAATCGAGGAAGGAAACGCAAACCAGGAGACCCATCTTCAAAAACTGTACGTAGACTTGACATGTACTTGTTCATTTGTAGCTGTTTCATACTGTGACTAATGTCACACAGTTACTGTTATTTCACGAGTCATGATAATGTCATCAGTCATGATAATTTTTGCTGCTCTTGGTTATATTATTGTTCAATGTTAATTACATTGTTGTAAGTTGAATTATCATTGACCTGCTTTTATTGCGATTAATTATGATCATAATGTTTTTGCTTTTACTCTTGTTGCAACTGCATGTTGTTGCTGTCACTGTTAAGAGCTCCTGTTATGACAATGATTTTATGGCTGTAACTTGTTAGACATTTCTGCTGTTGTTGTGCTGAACAGTACAGAGCTTGCAAAATGAGTAAAGATACCTCAAGAAAGTAAAATCTGTTCTTGTTCACCACCATGTACAGTACCATTAGTCTGTCAGGTGTAATACAAAATGTATCTTCCACAGGGAAAATAATAACTTGAATTCTGTATTTACATTGTGTCTGTTTTTTTGCTTGAAAGTCCATTGACTTCATTAGGAAACTGCATTTTACAAGCAGCTACTTCAGTTTCATTTTTTCTATAATATATCATTCTCGTTGTGTTCACTGTTTTAGGTGTCTGGTCCTATTAAAGAAAAAGATGGTCGTGTGAGGCACTTCAAAGGAGTCGGCGAGACAGTTCCACAGGATACATCATTAGGTAATTCACTTTGCAAATTTAATTCCTGTCATGTCAGCCTTACAGATATGTTAAAGCCATTCATAACAGTTGTGTGCAATTGCTAAGTGCTGTGAATGAATGCAAGAAGAGCGGGAAAGATTAGAGGTGACCGATCGTTTCGCCTACAAGTAGTTTCGCTTACAAGTGGATTCGCCTAACGTCTAAGTCGATTCACCTACACGATTGAAGTCGATTCGCCTACATGATCGAAGTCGATTTGCCTACACGATCGAAGTCGATTCGCCTACACAATCGAAGTCGTTTTGCCTACACGATCGAAGTCGTTTTGCCTACACGATCAATCGAAGTCCTTTCGCCTACATGATCAAAGCCTTTTCGCCGACACGATCTGAGTGGATTCGCCTACATTACAATACTACTTTACAATACTAAAAAGCTAAAAAGTTTTCATATCTAAAAATTGACAAATAGGTTTAAAACAATTATAGCAATGTTTTTCGGTAGAGTATTCCACTGCGATGGCGTAGCTATGCTGAATGCTCTGTCTCAACAAACGAGCTAAGAAACTTGAAGATCACCAAACAGTCAGAAGGCTCACCTTCTTCCATCTTAACCAGGGCTCGAAATTATCTTTTTCGTTCGGGAGCCAGCTGGCGACTAACGGAAAAATTTTGGTCGCCAGATCGTAAAGTTTGGTCGCCAACTTATTTTATATAATTATAACTTACACAAGAACACGATTTTATACGTTACTTTGCACGCAAGAAAAGTCACAATTGAAGAGCGAAAGCAATTAAAAACAACACGAGTAAAAAAGTTATAAAGCTACTGTTGTTCTCAGGTGATATGTCTCTGGTCCGAAGGTGATGGTTGTCTCCATAGTCATTTTAAATGAAGCCAAGCATAAAACGTTTTAAGTCCGTGGTTTTCATTGTCAGACAAACACGGGTCCTTGCGTATTTTCCCTTTGCTACTTCTTCGAAATGCCGTTCTTTATT